GTATGCAAGTCCTTCCTCCTGCAATGGCCCGAGGAGTCACAGCCTCCCCTGACATTTTCACACGGCTGATATCCCTCGGAACAGATTCCCCTCCATGCCCTGCCTCCCCAGCCCCGGCTCCGGGGAGCATTGTTTCCCGAGATGCCTGTCAGCGGATGCCGGGCTGCGGGAATTCCAGTCTTTCTCCCGAACTGCTCAGTGAGCAGGTTTCATAATGCTCGTATCCTGTCAATAGAGGTCGAAGGATGTACAGAACGCTCCGGATCTTGACAGTTTATTCCCTCTCCCTGCAATCCTGCTCCTGGTTTTGAACACCTAGCATTTATACCCACAGACAACGCTGAGTACGATACAGAAATGCAGATCACTACTCACCTTTAAACAATTTTACTCGCGATTAAGACACCAACATCACAAATTCAGCGCTCGCTCTGCTTTTGTATTATCGCTCCGAGAGGAAAAACATCAGCTCCTGACTAACCCCGCCGCCGCGGTGCCCTGAGCGCGGCGTTCAGCGCTGCTGCAGTCTGTGTCTCTAGCACAAGTCTGCCATATTTTTTTTGTTAAATCAGGCCTGTACCCACCTAAGAGCGGAGCCAGCCCCGAGCGGCCGAACCGCCCCACGCATCGCGCCGCTCACTGCGGGAGCCCTGGCCGCGGGGAAAGGCGGGGGAAAGCGGCGGCTCCCGGACCGCAGCCCCGCACCCAGCCCCGCACCCCCGCCCGCAGCCCCGCAGCGCTCCCGCACACAAAGCCCCGCGGGGGCCGCGCTGTCAGTGCCCGCGCCCCCCGCCCCGGCTCCCGAAGCGCTCGGGCATTACGTGCGTTCCGGGGCAGCAGCGCAGGGCAGCAGGACAGGACCGCACCGCTCCGCTCCGCACCGCACCGGGCGTGCGGCTGCGCGGGGGCGGCTCCGCGGGCGGCTCCGGCCGGCGGAGGGAGCGAGCGAGGCAGGGAGAGGGGCAGGGGCGGCGGCCGCGGCCCCCGGGGACGGGCCGGGCCCGCGGGGCAGGGCAGGGCCGGGCAGGGCCGGGCAGGGCGGGGCCGCCGCGCGTCTGACAGCGCCGGGCCCGCTCCGCGCTCCCCGCTCCGCGCCCGGCGCTCACCCCCGGCTCCCGGTGCCCGGCTCCCGGTGCCCGGCTCCCGGCCGGCCCTACCTGCGTGCGGCGCGGCTCTCGCTCGGTGCGGAGGGCGGGCGGTGCCGGCGGTGCCCGCAGCCCCCGGCGCTGCGCTGCGTGTGCTCCGCCCGGCGCGGAGAGAGGGGCGAGCGAGGGGCGGGGACAGCGCGGGAGCCCCCGCCCCGCGCCCCTGCCCTGCGGAGGGCCCGGCACGGCCCCGCATCATCCCCCGCCCCGCATCCCTGCCCTGCGGAGGGCTCGGCACGGCCCCGCATCATCCCTCGCCCCGCATCCCTGCCCTGCGGAGGGCTCGGCACGGCCCCGCATCCCTGCCCTGTGGACTCTGCGGCGCGGGGGGCTCGGCACGGCCGCCGCATCTCCCCGCATCCCCCGGGCACCCTCACCTGTGCTGCTGCGGGGCCTGCCCTGCGCTCACGCCAGGTCTTGCCCCTCCGCCGGCCCGCGCTCCCACAGCCTCCCGCGGGTGTTATCCAGCCGCTCCCGGCTCGCCTTCCCTTCTCCCGAACATTTATTTGGTTATTGGGTCTCTCCAGCCTTCTCGCCCCTCCTCCTCTGACACCCGCTCCTGTCGCAAAGACAATGTTGGCTCGCCCCCAGCATCCATTTCCTCTAGTGCTGCTCTCCCTCCCGCTGCTCTGTCATTCCTGGTGGAAACCCCATCCCGGCTTAGACTTCCTCCACTGCAGTCATCCTCTCCCGCTCCAGTCCTGCCACCTTCCCACATAAACAGCCTCCCTTTGACAGTGTAACGCAACCCCTGAAACTCGACCCCGGTTGCCCTTCTGCAGCACTTTCCCTTCTCCTCCTTTCCTGGGCAGGATTTTGTCTGTCTTTCCAGAGAAAACTGCTATCCCACAGCCAGGGTGCCTTTCCTCTTTCCCCTATGTCCCTCTCCCACTGCCAAGGTCAGAGGCAGACTTTGCTGCTTCACCTTTCCTGTGCTAATCCTGGTCCCTCTGCTCCCATCCGTGTGTGTCCTCACCCTCCTCGGGTCCATGCTCATTCCCTCCTGTCCACTGTCCCTCACCCCTCGCTTTCAGTACAGCTATGGACTAGTGGTATCCATGTCCTTTGTTCAGGAATCAACAAACCATTGGGATTCATTCACCTCCTTAGTTATTATTCCCTTTTCCCTGCTCTTCATCCCCGCACTCACTCCTGACTCTTTAATTGCCGTCTGGAGTTCCTCTCCTCTGTGCCTGTCTCAAACTCCTTATCTGGCTCCTGCCCCTCCACACTCAGATGCTTTGCCAAAGTTACTAATATCCACTTCCTGGTGTAATCTCTGGAATATTGCTTCATTTTCAGCCTGTCAGAATTATCAGCCTGGCTCTTTTGGATATTTTGTTCTCCATTGGTTTCCAAGACTGCTCCCCCAGAGTCACCTCCCTACAGCTCCTCAGACGCCTGATTTCCAGTGGGAGTCTGAATGGACTAAGCCCCTCGAACTTGGGAAAAGCTCCTCTGGCACTCAGAAAGGCTCTTTGAAATGTTCTGTCACCAGGAAGCCTACAAGAACCTTGATAGGAATATACTTCCATGTTTGTCACTCGTGCTGGTTCATATCCAGTCCTTGGGAATGCAGCAAAAATGCGTGTATAAATACATATATAATTTATATTCAAATGCTAGGATATTAAGAAACATCCTAAAAAATCACCCTTCACTCAACTATTAATATCCATCAAACAAGTTGGCAGGGACAGAAGATTGCAGTGTCTGGGAGTGAGCGAGAACATGCCGCGTATTTTAGGATTGTGTCTGTCTTAACCCCCACAGCTCAAAGAGGGGTGGGCCATTGATTCCCATGGAAATAACTGGGTAGGAATGAACGCCTAGAGAAGCTAGAACCAGAATAGCAGGGGCATTGTGGGCTCCAACCAGTTATCCCAGTTATCAACAGTCATTTTCTTCTTTTTACAGAGCCCACATTTGGTAAAGAACGGGGCAGGTGCAGACATTTTGCTGCTGATGGTTAAAAGCAGCATCTCCAGCCTTGACAGAAAGGATGATGGTTTAATTTTTGAAAATTACTGAACCTATTTGTCTGTATTCTCAGCATGAACCTTCCACTCACAGAGTTACAAAGCCCAAACCTCCAGCTTGGTGACAACTCATCTGGGAGTAATTACCAGGTTAATTACCAGCACTTCCCAATATCAGTGAGTAATCCCAGTTAGACAAACAGGTTGTTCCCACTGATGGCCACATTCCCTCTCAACTAACCAAGCTGAAAGGGGTGGGATGAATGGGTATGGTAGAAATTGTTGTTAAATGAAGTGAAAGGGGAAGCAACAAGTTGGGCAAAGTCATTCCCCTTCTGCTGTTACTTTGTAGTTACTTTGGGAAGCCCAAGGCTTTTTCCCTTACACACATTTTGCCCATGAAAATATGGACTTAATCTGTTTTTTTTTTTCAGTTTTGAAAACCTACTAAGCCACTGCACTCAATAATATAGTCTGATGCTCATCCCACAGAAATATATCCATGTGCATATTGACACCTTCTCCAAGGGGAAAACACTGCACAGGTATGTAAAGGCAAACACTCTGAGAGAGAACTTAAAAATAAATCCTAGTTGAAATAATCTAATGCACTTCTAAAAATAAAATGAAACAAAATTAGAATGGTAGACTTGTTCAGGTTGGAAAAGTCCTCTAAGGTCATTGAGTCCAACCATTAACCCACCACAACTAAACCACGTCCCCAAGGGCCACATTTGAGTTTGCACAAGGTGCTTCCAAGCAGAAACAACAGCAGCACATCTAGATGAGATACTAAGAGTCACAATTGCCAAGGCAGTACTAAAACTCAAAAAACTCTGTTGAAGGACGGTGGCAATTTCTGAGAACATGGAAGACACACACCAAGAAACTCACACTGCAATGAAATCCTTCCTGGCTGTACCACCAGACTGGAAGAGCCCTCTGCTACCAGCGTTCCAGTTCCACAGGTTCCCAGTGTGACTGAGGCACGTTCCTCCCACCAGACACACCTGCCCTCCACCCCTCACTCCTGGCTGCAGACACAGAGCACGGCTCAAAGGCACAGACCCAGACTGCTGCTCTGTCTCGTGGCAGACTTGGCCAGGCTCTTGAGAGGAAAATCAAAGATGGGCAACAACCTGCCTGAAGGGAAAACTCAGCTTCCTCACTATGTGCACAAGGTGCCTGGAAGCTCCTCTGGCACAAACATTTCCTCACAGAACTCTGTTTCTCCTCATCATCTGGGTTACACCCAGCACTGTTACACCATTACCTTCAGCAACACTTCATAGCAAAGCATTCCCTGGGATCCATTTCCCAGGATATTTCTGTTTCCCAACAGCCACTGCAAACAGAAACGTGCCTGATTATCACCCTTGGTTCCCCTGCTCTCCACAACCAGCTCCCAAGGCTGACCAGCCCAGAGCTCTGCCTCAGGAATTAACCCTCAGCCAGGTATCTCCAGGCACAGTATCTGGCAGTCTTCTGCCACAGGGAATGTGTGTGAGACAGAGGAAGGGCTTCTGCTGGAAGGAAGAGCCAGCAGGGACATGCAGACCCTTAGTAACTCCACTCTCAGGCTGCACATCAGAGGTCTGGCCATACTCTTTGGCTGAGAAAATCCTATTTCTCTATTCTACTGCTCTGTGCCTACCCCATGCCCACAGCATTTGTTCTCAACCATTTTCTCCACCACCAGCTCCCACGAGCTTCAGGCCTATTTCTCCTCGTGCCCAACATCCCAAACCCTGGAAAATGACTCAAGCACAGGGCACTTACACAGGCTTGGCCTTGGCCAGCTGCTGCCTCCTTCCCACGCCACCGGAGTCAGTGGTGGAAACGCTGACAGTGTGAAGGCAAGATGGCTTTCCTGCTGCCCTGCCAGCATCCCCAGGCCGGGAGGAGCCCTGGCAGGAGGCCCTGTGGAGGGACAGGAAGCATTAGTGAAAGCTGGCAGGGGCTGGGGCCAGCCCTACCACCCCATCCCTGCAGACACCTCCAGCGTGTGTGAGGCAGTGCATTAAAAATTAAATTAATGCCTTGGGACCTGCTCTCGTGTCCTGGGGGCTCCACACAGAAGGACCCAGTCACAGGGGATGGCTACAAAGAAATCCAATCCCAGAGGATGCAGAGTAAAGTTTTTGCCCCTCTTAAAGCCTCTTCTGTGGTGCAGCAGTTTGAGGCTCAACCCCAGGGGTTAAAGGTGTCCATGCACCAGGGCTTTTCCTCGTGGGCACCAAAAGGGAAATGGGGAGGGAAGGTGTCCAAAAGCCTCAGTGTTTATCTGTCCCAAGAAAATCTGCACGATTCTCTGCAAAAACCTTTTCCCCTTGTTGCCAAACATCCTCTTCCCTTGTGCTTCACCATAGTTTTACCCCTCCATTTCCTCTGGGTGCATTAGAAATGCAGCTAATTAGAAATTTAATGGCTTTTAAGCTGACAGAGAGTAGGTTTAGATGGGATATCAAGAGAGAAATCCTTCCCTGTGAGGGTGGGGAGGCCCTGGCACAGGTTGCCCAGAGAAGCTGTGGCTGCCCCATCCCTGGAAGTGCCCAAGGCCAGGCTGGACGGGGCTTGGAGCGACCTGGGAATAGGGGAAGGTGTCCCTGCCCATGGCAGGGGGTGGAATGAGATGAACTTTAAGGTCCCATCAACCTAAGCCTTTTTGGGATTCTGTGAAAAATACACACTGGACAGTCTGTGTGATGTGACAAAACAAAGTTGTCACGTACATTAGTCCATTAACTACTACAGGGAACAAAGTTAAATTCCTGGCTCTGAGATTCTATTCACTTCTCTGACATTATGGCCACTTTTCCTATAGAACCTGAAGCTGGGTGAAGGTCAGGTTAAGACATCAGCACATGCTCCAAGAACCCACCAGCATAACTAGATTTTTAAGTGCTCTCTGTGGTGATTACCTTGCTCCAATAACGCTGGGGTGGAATTCCTGAGGCTGTGATCCCTCATTCAGTTCCAGGCAGCTGGACCTCGTGCAGGGATGTGTCAGACACCAGTGGAACCCCATCCAGGTGCAGTCACTGATGGTGAACTCCCAGATTGAATCCCACAAATGATGGCTTTGGGTGTCACTCTCTCAGTGTCTGGTGGGCAAAGAGCTCCCAGGGCCATAATTCTGTGTTAGAAAGGATCTGGCCAAAGGAAAAAACAAACAAACAAACAAAGTCAAAAGCAGCCAAGCAGAGCAGATTTTAAGGGCTTAAGGCATGGCCTGCAGGATTTCCTCAGAGTTCCACAAACAGCAAGTCATCCTTTCATAAAACCTGACTTTCAAACTGCAGGCAAAAGTCCTGGAGTGTCTTAGAAACCCCAGGTCTGGTTTTCAAGTGTCATCAGTCTCGTCTGTGCACAGGCAACAGACCCCAAATTCCCTCACCACTCCCAGAGTGGGGCTGGATACACTGTCCATGCAGCATCTGCCAACTAGGAAGGGGAATCTATTGATAAATACAATTTTATCAGCCCCCACCCCTGCCCAGCCATGGGTCCACAAGCCACCAGCAACGTTCAGCAAAACAATAAGAGAATCATGGAACTGCAGTTGGGAGAGTTCTGGCACAGGAGGGAAACGTGGGCTCATCTATTTATAAGTGCAGTCTGGAGCAGTTTCACTGATCACCCTATAAATAGTGCCTTGCATGAAACCCAAAGCAGTGCATCTGGTATTTCATACCTTCCTGCTCCTTGTTCTGGAGCAGCAGTCCTCTGCAGAACATCCTCTCCCCTCTACTTCTGGGGTAATTTTAAAAGCTTTTCGAAGTTTATTCCTAAATTCTCGAATTCAAGGTCCAAACACCTTGTTTGCACAAGGGGAAAAGAACCAGGAGGACTATTTAGCCTTTTGCAGAAAGGCTATGAAGGGAAATCTTCCTCCTGCCAGGCTGTACCTACAACATTTACTTCAGCACTTTCCCTGCTCCCTTGAAAACCCACTTGTAAAGGTACCAAACCCTGGAGGGAAGATTGGTGCCTCATTAGCAACACCAGCTAAGGCAGGAGGAAGGTTTAAAAGCCTGCTAATATTCTGATAATAACAGTTTATCCATGCCCAGAGGATCCCAGCCATCTGTCAGATATTCCATCACAAAGCAGAATGAGTGGATGGCTGAGGGGGAATGTTGAATTGCAGAATTAAATCTTAATTGTGGGATAGTTTCCTGGGCTCTTACTCTCAACTTTTATCTTTATTACAACTAGCCAGAGGTCACGATGCTTTAAATTCCTGTCTTCCAGGGTGGATGTTATTCCCAAAGCCTAGAACAAGTTGGAGGGCTATTGTTTAATCCACTCTCCCTCTAGGAGCAAAAACAAAGTCAGAAAAACCGGAGCAAAACTTGCACAGCAGGTGATGCCTCTTGCATCCTTCCTCTCCAGGAATCCTGTCTCCTGGAGCTTTATTTCCAGTTAACTGAGTAGTCACCTCAATTTCAGAGGTTATGACTTCTTATCCAGGTTATTTTCATGAGGAAAAATGTGATTTTTACAGAGCCAAACAAGCTGATCTTTCCCCAAGGACCCACCCAGCATACTTATTCTTACTCACCTGGAAATCCATGTCTGCTCTGGTCCCAGGGAAGCAGCAGTTCCAAACCCACACGGGATCCTCTGAGGCAAAACTGAGGTTGGGATTTCACAAAAAAACATCCAGAGCTTTCTGAATTTGCAGGCAATCCAGTTTCATACAAAAGGCTGGTATCTGAGAGAAGAAAATACCAAAATGACTCTCAGGAAAGTTTGAGAAGTGGGGCAGTTGATGGGAATAGACCCTGTACAGTCACAGGTTGCTGGTTTTCCCTATCCCTGAGTACTTTCGGGGCCTTTGTGCTGTCTGTGGAAAACAGAACAAACACAGGGGACAGCACAGTGATTTTCTCAGCCAAGAGATGAACATTTTTAAGCACCTGACAGACCAGAATTTGACTTTTTTCCCCCCTGCATTCACATTCGAGGTTCCTTTACACCTCAGTGCTTTCATCACCTTTAGGAAATGGAAGCCTAGAATGGAAAAACTGCCTTTAACACGGGACAAAAAGAGTCTGGTGCTGGAATTTCCAGTTGAAATACACCGGTAAAGATTTGTGATTGCAACTTTCCCCTGGAGCTCACTGGAAAATGTCTACAGTTATTTAAAATCCATATTGAAGTCACAACGTTTGGATCTTCCTTGGGACATTTGAGGATGCAGGAATTGGGTGCAGTGTTGAACAAAAACAAAGCCATGGGTTACACTAAACATATTTTGTGGTACAAGGATCTGAAACCCACAGAAGGAGAAGGTCCCAAAGTTTGTAGAGAAAATAAAGGGGGGGATTTCTGGAAAAGCACAGCCCACAGTAATTGTGGTCCCTCCCCAACCTTATAAACACAGCTCCCCACTCCAGAAACAAACAGGAGCTGTGTTTACACGGGAGGAAGTTGTAGCTTGTCAGGATACAGTTGTATAAATAATTTAAAAAATGCCCCAGTACATACTGCATGTCCTTTTAGAAAAGAAAATAAGAGAATGGAAAATTCTGTTTTCCCACCGTGGGCAGAAAGTCATTCAAGTGTCTGTGACACACAGGCCAACGCCTGCTGGAAGTTTCCTTCCTTGAGCTTTGGATCAGCTCCACGGTGAGAACAGAGAAAGTCATCCACATCCTTCCAATTCAGGTGGAAGAATTCAGGGTGCACTTTCCACTTGGAACGCAAGTTCTGTGTTTATAGTGCACAACAGGAAAGGAAAACAAGGGTTAATTGTGACTGCAGAGGAATATGACGGAAAATGCAGATTTTTTTTTTTTTTGGTGACTTTTTGTTTCATTTTAGAGTGAATCCCAAGAGCCAGAATAAGGCACATTAATGGAGCATTGAGGGGAAAAATGTATTAAAAAAAAAAAATCTTGCTCCCTGAAGGATCAGAAGCCCAGACATGCTCTGTTATCGTGGTCCTTCAGATCATGAACCAACTGACCCTGCTACACTTGCTGTGTGTTCTGTAGGACCAAGGTGTGTTCCCAGGGAAGCTCTAACTCTGGGACAGCTGAGATAACCCAGACTCACTGTTCAATCAACTTTTAATTTGGTACATGGCTTGGAGCTCTCACCGTTGCTGGGCCGAGCTGTCCAAGGGTGGTGATGGCAATAATTCCTTTATTGCTCTTTGGGCACTCAGGAGTCTCCTGGTCTGTTCTCCCATGGAGTTCTGGTCTCATCTCACCCATTTTTCTCCCATTTTTACCACTTCCACACTTGCTGCTCTTTACTGACCCAGAACCAGGAAAGCAGCCCGGAGCGTTCTCTGCTGGGAACAGCAGATCCCAAAGAGGCCAAGATGGGAAAAAAAGATCCAGGTTCAGATCCATGCTTAAAAAATAGTAATTTTTAAATTCCCTGGTCCAGATGAATGCACATGGGTAAACTGCCCCCTGCAGAGTGTTCCCATGGAGCTGGGAGCACCCAGGGACAGCAGCTTGGAGGGTGCCAAGGGCAGGGTCACTCCATCAGCCCTGGGAATCATAGCCAGGCTGATTTCTGCCTTAGGAGAGACTGGAATGCTTTATCTCCAGAAGCCCAACTAACAGAAAGAACACTGAAATGTATTTTATCACTGTTTCCCTTACAGATTTAGGTAGAAGAAGAGTAATGTAAAATTTGACACGTTCAGAAATCTTCCTAAGTGACTTTGACATTGTGACAAGGGAGGAATCTGGGTCAACTCCCTCTCCTGCTCCCTTTTGTTTTCCAGGAGAAAAGGATGACACTACTTTTGTTGTTGCTGTGATTGCTGCACCTGCTACTAAGGGCTACTCTTGAGACACAAAAAGGAGCTTAATACAGGGAAAGGATGAGACAGAAGTACAAAACTAGTTTAGCTCTAGTATGTCATTTATCAAATCAAGGCACGAATTCCAATTTCTCAAGCAGAGGCCAAGCCAGTTCTGCATGTGCTGAACACAGGACACACTTTGGGCTCAAATCCATCAGGAAAGCACCAGATCCACCTGCTGAAGGTGATGGTGGAGAAATTCAACACAAATAAAGTGCAAGTTTTTTCACCCCTGTGAGTAATGAACTATCGGGACCATTCCCTTTGGGACGCACTGAGAGCTCATGAATTCTAGCAAATACCAGAGTAAAACATATTTGTGAAGGTGATCCCGTGGCTTCAGGAGGAAATTCCAGCTAGATGAAGGAATTCCTCCCTGAGCTTTGATGACCTGTGCCATGGAAATACTAAACAATCATGGAGGTTCCTTCTAGTCCTAAAAAACAATGTACAGACACTTCAGTCACTTCACCTTTAACACTCAAGTCACCTGTTGATAGGTCAATGCAAATAAAGACTTACTTTCCTCTTCAAGCAGAACGCTGAATTCTGTGCCATTTATTATTCCTAAATCCTCAGCAAAAACCCCTCAGAGAACTCAGGCAGGAGGAATGGGTAAAGGATCCAAAGATTTACCCGGGGCAAAAGGGAAAATGTGCAAATCCAGCTCTGAACTCCCTGAACTCCTCTTTTCAGGAAACTGGTAAGAACTTCATTATTATTGTTAAAAGTGCAAGTGTTGACTTCAGTCAGCAGCTCCAAACTGGGGAAGCAAAGACCCAGATGTGTAATTCCACGGGAAACCAGGCTAAAAATCCCTGTGAAATTGTCCAGGGCTGTTGTTGCTCTTATCCCGTGTTTCAGTGGAGCTGAACTAAGAGCTGAAGGAGGGAAGCTGAAGTCCACATACCTCTGGATGGTTTTCCAGCTCCTTCCAAGCACGGACACAAAGGTCTCTTCTCATCCCTCAGTCTGGGTGACGTCACAGGTGCCTCCTTAACTCCCAGCTGGAAGTTTGTGATAAGGAAAAGCAGGAAACAACCCTACAAATAAACAAAGACATGTTCCAGGTGGACCCACACCCATCTAAAAATGGAGACTTTCCATTATGGAATTTACTTAGCAATAATCCATATCTGCTTCTGTAAAGGTATATTCAATATATTTTTTTAAAGTTCATCAAAGGTTCCAATCAGACCAGTTCAGGAAAACCAAGAATAACCTCAGTTCCCATTCCAGGGCAGTTGTTTGGAAATATCTTATTCTCCACTAACTAAGCTATGATAAAGGTATCACAAATATACTTGATTTGTGCACGTAATGACAACAGGTAAAACCCCTGTACTTCAGAACCTCTGGGGCCCCACCACGAGCTTCCATCTTTTAAGGTATTCACATTTTCTCTGTGCCTGTAAAGGTGCCAAAAAGACTGTTTGTTTGCTATTTGCCATCAGATCTCAGAAACAATTATTTTTTTAGTGTAAATTTTTTTTAAAATAGTTAAAAGTCTCAATTTCTTCCTTCCTTATACACATACTCACGTTTTATCAGGGATTTTAAGACACTTGACCTTTTTTTTCTGAAATCCCTGCTCCCGGAGTCAAACGATAAATCAGAAGAATAAGAATGTTTCAGAGCTCAGATCTCTTGACAGGCTGTGCTGTTCTACCCAGCAAAGAAAAAAATAAAGTTTATTGTCTTTTTTAGCTTTAAAAAATGCATCCAAGACCCCTGAAAGGCAAATACAGAAATTCACCTGCCTTTCTTTTTTTCTTCAGTCTCACAGGATTCAAATCTCCCTCCTCTCCAGGAGGATGTAATTTGGGGATTTTAAGCTGTGAGGGCTGCAATGGTGCCCGTGAACCTCCTGGGTCGTGGTCAAAGCACAGGAGGGTGGAGACTCCTGCAAAGCCAGGCCTGGGCTTGTATCTGCTTCTCTCCCTGCTTCCATCCTTAGGGTTTTCCATAAGGCATCGATTTCGTTTTCAAATATGACTTTTACGTAACCGGGACATTTTGTGCAAACCTGGTTAACTCCGTGCCCTCAAAATATCCTGCGCTTTCCAGCATATAAATCCAGGCCTTGACATCGAAAGAATGCTTGGCAGATCCAGCAGGAAGCACAGCCAAGAGAGATGTCAAAGGTATTTGAGAGGTTTCCAGTCAGCCAAGGATATTAACACCTTGCCTGAACTTAAAAGGAGCAAGATTTTTGTGGCATGAAAAAGTGATTTTAAGACGATTTTTTATGTGTTCCGCAAAATGTTTGTGTGCTCTGAATGCACCATCACGGGGAGAACCCTCCAAGAGCTGTAAATATTCATTCACAGTCCTGGCTGGATTTGGGAGCCGCAGCCAGTTTCTTGGACAAAATCTCCCTCATGTGTGCACAGAAATGGAATTATCTGGAATCCAGAAGAGCTGAAAGGGGGAGAGGTGCTCCCAGGTGACAGCCTGCCATGTCTCAGCACAGTTTCACTGTGTATCTCCTCAGAAAACTGGCAGGGACAAAAACCAAAAGAGAGTCTGCCTTTCCAGTGCCTTGAACTCTGAGAGAAATGGGAGTGGAAAGGATCCCAGAGGGCTGCTTCTCTCAAGGCACACCCAGACCTGTGTTTGATCCTTCTTCTGACAGCCCTTCAGCCACAGCCCTCCCTTCCCTCTCTCTGCACCTCTTCAGCTCTCCCAATTCTAAAGGCTTAGCCAAAAATCCAGCCCAAATGGTGGCCCATGCAGAAGCAGCACAGTGGGGTTTCCACACTGTGTTGGCACTCCCCAGATTTTCACTGGCGTTGCTTCGGAGCGGTTCTGCACCAGCCAAGGGGCTCAGCAGAACTTCCCCCCGGCTTCTGCAGAAATCAGGACATCTTTTCCTCTAAGTCCAGCAGAGATCTCTTAAAATCCCAGCCAGCTTTGGCTGGATTTTCCAGGCAAACCCCCCTGTTTGTCCCGGGTGCGGCAAGGGAGCCGTGTTGGCTGCAGGAGCCGGGAGGAGGGAGCTCCGTGCCAGGAGATAGCAGAGGCCATGGAGCTGGCCCCAGCCCCCTGGACTGCTTCCCACTCCTCAGAGCCAACAGGTCTCCACCCAAGACACAGCCTGGGACTTCCCACCCCTTCCCAGAACGCCAGCAGGCTCTGGGTTTTATGCTGAGGCCCCAGACAAGATCCCCGTGTCATCTGTGCCACCACTCAGAGCCTGCAGGCCAGCACTCCCCCCACAGGTTTTCCAGTGCTTTCCCAAATTATTTCGTTGATCCAGGCATACTTCAAGGCATCACGTTTGGCAGAAAAATGAGATTTCCTTCTCTTCCACCAGTCTTTCCTATTCTGCCCCCTGTTCCTGCATCACATCACTCACTGCTGCAGGAGAACTTCCCTGTCCCCACGGACAAGCATCTGCCTGGAAAACAGGATCAGCTTCCCTTCAGCAGGGAAGGCTGGAAATGGGACCAAGCAGGCACAGAGGCAAAAGCACTTTCTAGAATCATCTGGCCCCTGTCAACCTTGGAACTCCAGGGGAGACCTGGGCCCTCCCTGGATGATCCCTTCTCTGGCTTTTCCAGTGCTGTCCACACTGCCAGGCCAGGCTGGCGCCACAGACAGGAGCCAACACACCCGAGTGAGCTGCCACCAAGGCAGGGACAGCTCTTCTGCTCCTGTCTGCAGCTGACCTGACTCCACAAGGAACAGCACTGAAGAGGTGGCCAAGCACAGCAGAGGTGGAAATGCCAGAATCAAAGGAACAGAGACTCCCTAACTAGGAATAATTGCCTGAATTCCCTCCCCTCTTACATAGGCCACAACATCCCTCATTTCTTTCACCAGCAATAAATTCTGGGTAAACTGGATTACATCTTGGTTTAGGTTTGTCTTCCTCAGAGACTTGGGGGCTCCAAGAGGAGAAGAATTAATTATTCACTCATGCAGCCTCTTACACTGCTGCAGTGATTACTTACCCTCCTCACTGAAAACACAAAACCCCCTCAGAACAAATAAAAAACACCAAACTGCTCCTCTGATGGAAGTTTTCAGCCCTCTCCCCCCTCCGTGGATTGCACAATTTCAGTGTGATGAACTATTACACACTATTTTTCCCAGTGGGCCCCAGCCTCCTGTCTGCCTCCAGGAAAAGTGATCCCTAACAGCAACAAGTAGGTACCGTGGTTTCTCCCCACCTTTCCTTTCCGCTCTTAACTCTGCATTTCTCATCTCTTTGCTGGTGTCTGGGTTGGTTTGTTTTTCCTGGTGCTCCCTAACCCTCACCACTCATCCTCATCACTTGGCTTCCATTCTCTCCCTGTTTATCTGGTCACGCTCAGGCTTCATGAAACCTGTTTCAGCCATGCTGACCCACCAAATTCCACTCCACCAGACCTCACCCTGCACTCATACATCCCTAAAAGTGCTGTCTCCTTCCCTCCTTCCTTCCATCCCAGCTAAGCTCACTCAGCCCTCTCTTTTTCCCTCCCACACTGGGGAGCAGTGAGAGGGCAGGAAATGGTGCTTCCCTGCACTTTATACCTCCCAGATTTTGTCCCTGGAGCAGGAATTGGAGGAAGGATTTCCGTGCCAGAACGTGCTCCGTGCCCACAGAAGAACTCTAACAAGCCTCTCCCTGGTAGGTGGTGGTGTTACTGAGGTTTTACAGTGTCTAAATTCGTGATACTTTCACAGAATGACAAATCACACATCTGTGGTAACTGCCTTCCTGAACAGCGAGTCAATAAAGTTTAACCAATCTATAAAAAATGTCATATAATGTGGGACACACTCGGTTGTGAGGAAGAGCTGAAGTGCCTTTGTTCAAAGTTAACCCAAGTTCAACCTGGGTCTGACACCGAGGGCAAGATGCTTCATCTGAAGAGTTCAAATCTGACACTCACAAGCTACTGGAAAAGGGGAACTGGGAGCCTCAGACACTGTGTCTGTGTCAGTTCTTGGCACAGACACCTTAACTTTCCATAATATGTTTTCTCAGCAACTGAAGCTTTTGGGAGATGTCGGTGTCTCAAGACAATCTCTGCACGTGGGTTTTCCTCCGAGCAGTTTTGAGATGCTCTACCAGTTAGTTTTTGAGGAAAACCAAACCTGTTCCCACCCTTCTCATCTCTGCTCTGCTGCAGCCATTCCCACTCAGCCACCACCTCCAGAACATCACAGGCAATTAATCCCACCAGATGCTCCCCTCTCCTGCAGCTCTGTTCAGGAAATGCTCGGCCACATCAAGCTCCTTTGGGTATTTTTACCCTGCTCAAAGCCAGCCCTGTGGCTCTCACCCCAAATTGCTCCTTTGCCCACCTCCAGTGGTGCTAGAAAGAATTTTCCTTAACCAAAACCAACTGTTCTGCCCTCCCTTTTCCAGAGAGAACCAATGTACATGGATTGCTATGCCTGGAAGTCCATCTCTGATATTTGCCAGCATTTATTTACCATCTCCTGAGATGCACAGCTCAGCTGTGCAAACAAGGAACACTTCTGAGCAAACTAATCACCCTGCAATTAATACCCAAGCATTGTCTAATGGAGGAGGCCAAGTTATTCTAACAGCCACGAGAGAAAGAAATTAGTGTAAATGATATTTAACCCACCTGCAGAGCGAAAAAAAAAAAACAAAACCTATGGCTTGGTAAGAAACAGCAGAGTCGGTGAAAAATGGCCTAGGAATTGAGAGCAGGCCTTGGGATCCTAAATAAAAGGTGGAACAAAGGGGGCTCACCCAATGTGAATGCCCTCTGCGGATCTGGATCTACCTGTGACTGACCTGGAACCCAAAGCTCTGGGATCCTCCACCTCCCACTTCAGTTCAAGCACAACAAGTCACAGTCACGGTCACGCACCAAACACTGAGGAAATGCGTGAGAGATCTCCACACCCAATTTTCTCCGTCCTTTTCCTGACTGTTTGGAGCCTCCCAAATCCCTCTTAGTCCCTCCAAAGTAATTGCAATAAGATGTCCTGTCATCACATCGAAATGTGCCTGTTCAGTGTCTGCAGGGTTTGTGCTCTGAGTTCAGAGGGAGGCTCTGCAGCATTCCCAGGGACCAAGTGACCCCTCCCTCATCCCAACCAGCAGCACCGGTCCATGGGCTTTGAGGGTTATGGATGTTGGGATGGATATCCAGCTCCTCTGAGACCAGCAAAGGCCTAGCCAAGTGTTGAAGATTAATTTGCTCTAAGTTAGCAGCAAGCCCTAGTAATCAATTTGTCATCTCAGTTCCATAAAGTTCTGCCAACCTTAACATTCCCGCTCCTTGCATGGCAATCTGTTCTCATTGCTAGCTGCTATTCTATATATCAATTATATTCTGATATTGTTCAGAGATTCAGCACAGACCTGCCAGATCACTCACACCACAGCCAAGCCAGATCCTTCAGGGTGGCACCAGAGGCTGGACCACCAGGACACTGCACACACACGTTTTCCTACACTCCCAGGGATAAAGTGTGCATGGAAATCAGGAATAGGGCAAGGCAGCAAGGCTGGAAGTGCTTACACCTCTGAGGAGAAGGTTTTCAAGGGTCCCACGTAAATTCAAAGCCATGTGATTTTTTAATTGCCACGGAAATTGCTCAGTAAACAGACACAGGCCTTCAGGTCCCTCTTGTTCCCAGTCCCCAGATACCATCACCATTCCATAAAGGAGCTGGGAACTGGAAGAGCAGTGCAGACATTGAAATGTAAATGAGGTACAATCACCTTGCTTGGCTCCAGGAGGGTTACTTACCCCTGGTGACTTCTGAACCAGAGCAGGGCTTAACAAAGCAGGGCATAAGCACTCAATTATTATGGACACGTGTTTACCCTGCAGATGCACCGGGATGGCAACTTGTGTCGTAGGAAGGGTGTGGGATAATTTACGATAACAAAGTCAAGTATGTGTTGTTCCTCTAAACTTTGCTTATTGGCCTCAGATCCTTCTCTCCTTGAAGCTCAAGGGCTGTTCTGAGGGATGCTGAAGTGCCTTGAAACCGGCTGGCATTGTGGGAAAACTCAAAAACAGGAACAAGAGCCTTCTTGCACTGGAAAACACTCCCTGGGCAAGCAGAGGTGCTCTCACTGGTGCCCCCCAAAATAATGCCTGCTAAACTGGCCCAGCCCCTGCAAGAGGCCCAACAGCCTCAGCTCCCACTGAAGCCCAGTGAGTCACTCCCACCTGTTCCAGGTGTGGGTTTGTCCGTGCTCCAGTGCTCCCAGGAATCAGGAATTCACTGCCCTTTCCTGCGCTTGGACTTGTTTCAGCACTGCTGAAAGTTCCCGATTCCCCACTGCCTGTCCCTGCCCGTGCACCCAGGGTGTTCACTCCCTGTGGTTCTCCAGCCTGGCTCAGACTCATCCTGGGGGCACAACTTCCCCCCAGTGTCACCTACTGCTGATGGAAAGACTCTCCCTGACTCTGAGAGCCGGGTGTAGGACAGCTCCCACCCCGTTTCACTGCTGTCAGTCCCACAGTTTTTATGTTCAACTCCAGCCAGAAGTGCACTCTGCCCAAACACATTCAAACCCCAGCCATTCATCTTGGCTTTGATTGATAAAGCTTCACATCATTCTAATCCATGGGAAGCTGCTCAGGAGATGGATCCATTCCATGTAGGCTTTTCTTTTCATCTACCCAGGTGCCCTTTGATCTTGTGAATCTCTGTATTTAATTATGGGAGTTGAAGGAGGTTCATATCCTATCTCCTGGTACACTCTGCTCTGGTCTGTCCTTTCTTTTGCTGTTTGGGGAAGGAGAGTGCAATTCTTGGAAGCACAGCTCTTTAATTTTAATAGATTACAAGTGCTAGAGTAAGCTCACCTTCAGTTGCTCCTCATTGTTGATGCATGAATAAACAACTGGCAGGGGAAGGAGAACATTCCAAAAAGGTGCTTCTAGATGAATAGAGTCAGCAGCCATAAAGGGCCCCAGTGATTTCCTGGGGCACAAAGGCCTTGGTGGTATTGCTCTGCCACTTGCAATCAGCATAAACGTAGTACTTGACAGTTTTCCTTGGCTGCTGAAAAACAATAATAAAAAAATAAAACCAAACAGAATTAGGAGAAACAACAACAGCAAAGGCTACACAGCACCCAAATTAACAGGGCAGAGCATGGAAAGGGAACTGTGGCTTTGCAGTGAGTAGAACAGATAAAGAAGTGGGATGCAACAACAAAGGAGGCTGGGAAAAGCTCCTCTTACTGAATTTCTGTCTCTGTCTGGCTTGACTGAGTTTGCCCTCTCATATTTGTACCCCAGAACATCGTGGGATGCACTACAGCAGACTTCAATCACCACACAGGCAGGTCAGGACTTGGATCCCTGACCTCAGTGAAAGGGAATCACTCCTTGAGACCCCAGGCCAGGCTCACACAAGCTTTGCACCACCAGAACATCAAGGACTGTGGATTTGGCCGGAGAGGTTGGATCCCGAGCAGAGAGTTCCTCATTTCACCCCAGCAGCTGTACTGTGGAGCTCACTCGGGGCAGGATCCTCCCGATCCAGACACCCCCAGCCGGGCTGGAGCAAACCAGGCACACTTCTCAGTGCAGCAGTGAGTGCTCTGCTCCTCTGGTAATTAGCTGAGCTAGTACCCCTTTCAGATGACTTATTTTTAGTCCTTGCCTGCAGGGAACTGAGCCTTTCAGAGGCTCCAGAATGGGTCAGCTGGAACAGGCTGTTACATTATGTATGTACCAGCTCCTGCTCAGCAATATCCACGGGCTGGGACTCGGGCAGCAGCAGGAGCACCTCTACCTGGGTTTTCCAGCCACCACAGAACAACACACTCCTCATGTCATCCCAACTCACCATGGCCATTCACAGTGTCCCCTGATGCACGAACCCCAAATGTGTGTCTAAAATTAAGGTTCCACATCAGCCGTGCCTGGTATGGCTCATTAAAAATGGATCGTCCTTTCAGGCTCCGACACATAAGTAGGGAAATATATTGCTCAATACACATGAACTGCTGGAATAAAATATCCATTACCTGCATGCCCCTGCTTCAGCAGAGTACTAGGGAACGGGGTGGTGATTAAAACAGCAGGACTGTGCTGTCCCTGTTGTTGGGTTATGCTTTAAAGCCCTCAGGAAGGCGGAGGAAGTGAGGTCAGTGAAGTGGCTGATCATCCTGCAGCACACAGAGTCCCACAGCACGGGAACAGGCCTTTGTCCACAGAACAATCCAGCTTGGCCTGTTCCTCCTTGGAAGGTCACCCCGAACAGGAGAGCAGGAGCACTGGAAAGCAGCCAACCTCAGAGTTCCCACTGCAAGCATGGAGCAGTCCCAGGTGCTAGGGAGAGTTCTGCTGGGGAATAATGAACTCACAAACTTGTTTTTCCAGAGGCAACAGCAGAGCCCTGTGCCACAGCCCTACAGGCTTCCCACTCCAAGAATTCTCCATGCCCAAGCACTTTTTGGATAGGCCAGCTGCTTCATTGTTATTAACAATGCCTCATTAGCCAAACCTGACCCTTACACGTTTCCTTTTCGAAGCGAGGGGCTGCTGTTCCCTTTCTGAACACATTGTCTCAGAGAACACGATGCACTGGTTTGTTGGTACCTGCTGCTTCCACTCCAGGTGTTTGCTGCAGGTGAAGCGTGTGAGGGACAAATCATACCCAAACATTTTGGCAAACCATCCCCAGCTGCACCACGGCCTGTACCAAGGGTGATGAAGCAGGCACAGCTGAGGTGGATTGGCAGTCCCAGTGACAGCACGTCACACTCGTTGCTCTGCTGTGGATCCACACTATTTCAGAGGAGACAGACTGCTTACAGACGTGTTTCTTGATGTCTGGGAACAGTGCATGAACCAGCACCACTCAAAGAACAGAAAAAAGGATGGTGCCTTATGTGCTGTAATAGGATTAAACTGCTTTTGGAGCTCAATTAGCTGACTCATGATTTTAACTTGCTACCAAGAAAGCAGCAAAGCCACTCGTGGGATGTATGGCAAACACCTCCTCCGAGGATGGATCCTCCAGCATGTAAAGTTGCAGGCACGTGTGCCTGAGCTGAACACAAACCTTCACCAAAAGATCTGTTTTGTACCAATGATTTGGGCACAGAAAAGATGATTTACCAAATATGGCTCTTACATTAACCCTTCTGCCTGAGGCTCCTCTGCAGAGTAACTCAGTAGACAACACGTCTGTGTGAACAAACCCAGGGATCTGCACTAGACCTTCATTAAACCCTCTGTACACACCCAACTGCCTGTTCTCACAGAATTCTTCATAAAATCCCTGGAGCTGCAATTGCCAAACTCCAGCCTGCTCCTGAACTCCAGCCTCCCCACGTCATCCCTGCGCTGCAGACTCGGGGACCAATTAGTGACACGAGCTCCTGTCACCAAGGAGATCAGCAGGCACCTTCTCACAGAGAGCTCCAACGCTCACAGACTCCTCCTGAGCTCTGGATTTTGGCTCTGCTTAACATGTACCACAGCAGCAGATCTGCAGCACGGCTAAATAAAGCTTGGCACGGCTGGCCCCAGCGTTGCCACAGTTATCACGGTGCCTTGGCTCCTTCGATCCAGGATTCCTGCAAAGTAGGAAAGCACCATCCTTGCTGATGCTCACAAAAATTGCCTGGCTCCCTGTCACCCTGTGGGTGGGGAGCTCAGAGCCAGGGATCAAACACAGCTCTCCCAAGGCCCAGCTGAATGCCCAGAGCCCAGTATTCTGTTCTAGCAGATTCTTTCCTCTGTTTCTGATATGAAGAACCAAAGCTTCCAGAACAATTTGCTTCCAAATGGCCTGAGAAATCTCTCTGCCTGGAGACACAGGCCGTGGTGATACTGTCAGGATACCTTGTCTTTGCACTGTTTATATGTAAGGTTAATGTAAATTGTGTAAATCCACAGTGTATTGACCCATTTCAGTGACAGGAGCAGCAATTGCTCGATGAAAATGGTTTATAGCTCAGCAAAGCACCCCAACTATGCAAAAAAGCATTGTAAAAGCATTCACTATTAATTATTTAAACAGGGATATTTTTCTGTGATTTTGCATGGCTGGAATTATTTTGATTCTTTTTAAACTTGATTTGGATGCTCAGCAGCAGGATGAACACTGCTCGCTGCCCACGTTCTACCTTGCCATTTTTTAATGTTTCAACTGACATTTGCAGTGAATAAGTGTTTTGGTGCTTCCTCTGTATCATTCTCTGCACAGGAATAAGATCAGAGCCCAGTGTATAAGTTGCACATACCACCTTCAGAGATGTTGTGCTGTCCAGGGGTGTTCCCAGGCAGTCTGGTCCAGGCAGGAAGGAGCAGGGAAAGGAGGCTGAGGAGATCAGTGCCAGACCTGTGTGCGATGCTCACCTTCCCCACACGCCTTCTCAGCTGCTTCTTGGCTTCTACGTCTTCTTCTGAGTCACTAAAAACAAAACAAACGAAGATCAGTATTTTTTTTATGATCCCATTGCTCTCACATCTCCTCTCAAGTACTGGCAAATAGGTTTCACATTGAAAAACGTCATTTTTGAGGACAAGTTGAGAGGGATTGGAGGCAGAGGGAAGGCCACAGGCACAACTGCACTGAGCTGTGCTATGAAGGGGTTGTAGACCATCCATAGAGCTCTCAGAAAATCTCTGTCTTTAGTTGCCGTTAAATTTAAGCAGACTCTTGGCCAGAACAGCAATCAGGACACGAGCACTCACTCAGCAGTGATTTCCTAGAGCAACATTTCAGCCATTAGGTTTGGTGTTTGCTCACTTCACATCAGATGCTCCCCACTTTCACCCCTGGTTCAAACCACAGCGTTTCACAGACAGTCTGTGGTTGCACAAACCACTTCCCCTCCCCTGTGCAGTGACAGCAGTTGTATTCACAGAGGAGTTCTAGTAGGAACTTCCATGGGCCACAGCCTAATCCCCGCTGATCCGTGCCAACGAGACGCAGCGCCAGGGCCGGGGCCTTTTCCAAAGGCTGCAGTTTTGTCCTGCTCCCATCACTTACTGCCCAGGGGAAACGTGTGTTCAGCTGGGGCTCCACTGCCTTTGTTAGGCTGGAACCACTGACTCTGCACTTCCATTAACTGGCAGGGGGTGAAAGCCACGGCCCTGAGACAATTGGAGCACAAAGCGCCGGCACAGGGCTGCACCCAACTGCTGCTGGCAGCACTTTCATTCACTTCAGCCCCACCCTCCAACTGGGGCTTGATTGGGAAAGATTTGGTGCCACCCCACATGTTATTTGGATTTTAAAGCGTGTTGTCAGCTGAGTGCAACACGAGGTTTAGGCTGAGCAGTGACAGACTCGTGTATTGCAATTATAACTTGATTAAGTGTAAGTGGTCTCAAAAATCCCCCAGCCCACCCAGAGAGATCAAACCTCACAAGTTCTGTTCAATCAGTGCTATAGGGACGACAACCTGGTTAACCACTGGCTGCCCTCATTCCACAGCACCAATGCAAGTCTTGAATCATGAACCACCCTCAGCTCATCTAGACTGGGGTTTCCTGGACACTGTGGCATCTTCTCACACAACTCTGCCTGTCCAGGTCCACAAAGAGATTGGAAACTCCTGTCCCAAAGGGACAGAGCAGCCACCCAGACACACTGAGCACAGCTCCTAAAGGAATTCCATGGCTGAGCTCTGAACAACACACACACACACACACACACACGTGTCTAACTGATCCTTACCCACCGCCATCTCTCCAAGGGTAGAAAAAAAAATAAATCTGTGCTCCCTGAAGCTCCTCTTGTGTTTGTATTCACAAAACACAAACACCTCATTGAGCAGCAAGAGCCTGTCCAGTTTGCACCTCCTGGCTGTGCCTGTGTGGGTGGCTGTGGGGATGGAACAAGTGCTTTTATCCTCCTGTTCTTGCCTTGCAGGGTTTTATAGCTCGCAGACCAATGAGCCAGACCCATTGGATAGCACAGCTCCCGAGGAAATTCCCCATGCCTGAGCTCCCAACAATGCCTCCAAATGTCACAAAAAGTCAGCAAACACTCTGAAGACTCAAGTGCACGTTCTGGGCAGCAAC